GAGCGTCTAAAAAAAAAAGCTCAGTATTTTGGTGAAGTTCTGATTAATACACGTTGTACTAAGCAAATTGTGGTTATTATTTTGCACTACTCAACATTTTAATTCCTAACTGAGATCGGTCATTCTGTGTTATTACTCATCTGTAAGAAATTCACCTCATATTTCTCATATTTCTCCCACTGAATTACTCACATACAATATCTCAAGCCTCTCAACCAGAACTGCTGTTTTCACTCTTTAGAACACCGTGACATGAGCGCTGCTGTAAATCACGCTGGATTAGAATTTTGGCTGAAAGCCTAAAATGTACAGCTTACCAGATTCCAGTCCAGGCATCTGTGCATTGGTCTATTAAGAAAGCCCATCTTATGTTAGAGTTATGTATTCACATTCCACATCTGTTCCATTGTGCAGATCTGCTGAGTGACAGTCTTGTTATTGCTCGCATGGATGGCGATGGACCAGCTTTTGATTTGAACAAATGTGAGAAATTGCTTTTGTCAGGCTGCCAAACAGTAACAACTTTGTGCACGCGGTACAACCTCAAAACGGATGAACGGCGTTTGTTTCCATCTCTGACGGTGAATGTGTCCGTGTCCGGACTTTTGGCTTTAATGAGAAACACGTGTTTACAAGCGCAGGTCATGTGTGATACCTCATCGATTAAAAACGACGGTGACCTCCGCCGGAAAGAATTTACACGTCTAATTACACAAATCTGGAGTGAGGCTGCTCTCGGTCTGCCAGACTTCTTCAGGATTCTGTGTGTTTTCTTGTGCATGCACGTATGTCAGAAGGAGTCAATCTATTTAGGTTTTTCCAGGGCCACCACCTGCAGAGTGGATTCACTCTGTTGTTTGCTTAGATACTGTGTATCACAGGCTGACATCATTCAACTTTCCATTTATGTTCCGGCTGTTCGTTTGTTGCAGCAGAGGTCTTGGCTCATCCTTCGGAAACAGTGTGCTTCAAACCGTAGCTTCTTCTGATAATGTGTCAGTAGCACTCAGCTCACATGCGCACACATTTACTGATGAACATGCAGATGGGGACATTAATACAAGTTCGTGGAGGCCAGTATTATAAAAGTGTGTCTATGGAAATCCATGTCTTTTAACATTGTTCTCTACATATAGAGATAAAAAGATAATAGTGGGGAACTTGAATTGAAAACCATCAATTTTGAATTTCAAATCATACCGCAGCATCTGAAGCAATTTTTCTTTTGAGTCTATTTGTCCGATATCCTACAGTTTTTTAAAAGCATCCCCGTTTTTCAATCGGCCTTTTTCTCCACCCTCGTTCTTTCTTCCGACTGCCTCGCGAGCTCTTCGCCCTTTTCCAAGTGACCCGCTTCAATCTTTCTCTCCTCTGCTCTCGTTCCAGGACCCCCCATCACCCCAGATGACATCCCCATCAGGCCTGCTGGCCGGCGTATCGTAGTGCCCCCTGGTGGTCGTTCCAACATCACGTCCCTCAGTTAAACAGCGGCGCTGACGAGGGGATGCATCCAGAAAACGACAGCAGCCAGAGTGCAGGACGGAGGGTGGGAGGGAGGAGCAGATGCAGAGGACCACGATTAGTTAAAAGAGCAAAACACTGAATCCTCACGCCTTACCTGTCACAACGCTACACCTGGCTCAGATGAGAACAGCATCTCTTTTCCTGGGGAGTTTGTATTAACGTGGTTGAGAATTGCCACCAAAAGGTACCACCAAAGCACAACACACACGACCCGGTCTTTAGCCTCACTTCTTCTTGGCAAGTAAAAAGCAGTAAAAAAAAACAAACACGTTCACTGTGTTATTTGGCAACGAGAAACTACACCAGTAAAACAGCTCACCATCAAATTCACCAGAATACAAACAAACTCGGCTCTCAAAGGAAAACGGATGCTGCCGTTCTCAGAATGACGCTGTGGTTCTTTCACCCTGTTTGGCTGTCAATGTCACTCCCTTTTCAGTAGCCTGCTTCCTCCATAGTCTGCAACACTAGGTCCCACATTAGCCATGTTTTATCGTGCAGTACCACTGATTAGCTCTAGATGGCATTGTACATACGGTAGATGTAATGTAGCTTTGTGAATGATGTTCGTCGCAATCTGTTTGCGTTTACCGGAAAAAGGGAAAGGTATTTATCAAATCTCAGGAGCAGGAGCGCTGTTGGTCATGGAACGACGTGGGTGACCCCCCACCACCTCCCCCTCTCCTCTCCTCTGAGATGCTTGATAAATACCATCCCCGTGTTGTATCGATTGAATAATTGTTGATGTTAATAATGGAAGACAGCCACATGAATAGAAAGGGTTTTAGCATTCTTCATCTCCGAAGGTTTTGTTTTTACTGCCCGCACTCCATCACGGCTGTGGTGAACGTTGTAAGAAACCGTCCTTTGCATTTGCTTCTAGCTTATTGGCTGCTCTTGTCATCCTGAAAACATCTTGAAAACAAGATAAGGAAAATAAAAAGATTAACAAAAAAAAAAAAAAAAAAGTTCACAAGAAGTAAAAAAAAAAAAAAAAACAGTCCCTTGAAGCTCAGCTATAACTTTTAATGACGAGCTTTAGAATTGAGGGCAATGAAGAAAACCAGATGCAATTAAATGAACAAGCGACAAACACCTGCTTTCAGATAACAGCACTTCACCTCTAGCTTTACTTTTTCATCCCTGATGAACTGGGCTCTTGTTTCCATACGAGAGGAAGACCATCATTCCCTTGTGATCCCCTCACGGCCCTCTCATGAAATTCTGACCGAAACTAATTCAACAGCCTGAACGCGACGTTAGTCTACATGAAGCACTCTGGACCTGATGGTTTTGAGGGGAGTTTGGAGCTCTTTGTGTGTCTGTTTGCTGGCAAGGCCGAGGATTGCGGTGCAGTCAGGGAAGCTTTTATTTGTTTGCTGTCCCACTGCCGGGGGAAGGAGATGGCGTTTTTATTTGCGGTGGGGCAGTCTGAGGCAGGCACGAATGCTGTATTTATGTTAGTTTTACAACCTTTTGTTATTGTTTTTATGCTGTTTCTTTTTTACTGTTTTGTCAAAACCCAGAGATGGCAGGTAAAAAAAATAAGGTGTGTTGTGGAGGAATGATTTGTTTCCTGAATAAACATGAGTTGCAACTGACTTGATTTGTATCTCATTTTTCTTTTTATGGTCTTAATTAGGAGAAATAATTGTAAGCTTACAGTGAGTGTTGATGGAAATGCTGCATATTCTTTCTAGTTACATTAGCATTCCATTCACATTTTAGATTTACAAAAAGGCTTTATCAGGTTACATTTTATGAATTAATTTTTTAATTTGTGCAAATTATTCTTATATATGCAGAAGCAGCCAAGACATTTATTTTAAACTATATGCTGTATTTTCAACACATCCAGGCAGATGAGCTTTACATGTCGAGTGTCTTGGTACTTTGTATTAAACACCATTACTCATTTTCCAATAAACCAGTATTGCTTAAAACCATTTCATGGACGTGACTGAATAGTATCTAAATACATGTAGCCCACTAAAAAAGGATGCTTAATGCCTAAACCCACTAAATAAGCAGTAAGTATAGAATGCTCCAATTCTGATGCAATCCACGACTTGGCCACTAGACGGCAGCACAGAGCAACACTACGCAGAAGAAAACCTCCACTCAAATAGCATTATTGTTTTGATGTTTCAGGAGGAGTTAAACTTGAAGGTCAATTCTAACCATAGACTAACACCACATTTTATAGTGCTATAGGTTTAGACTACTTAGTCGTCTGGTAATTTGCGTTGCCAACATTGCGGGGAGCAATGCTAAAAGAAGAAAAACTAATAAGAACCTGCAGAGAGGATTAAACATGAAGCTATGAATGCACATCAGTGCACCGCGCACGAATGCGCATAAGCACACAAACAGCTGCTTGGGTGAATGTCAAGAGGCCGGCAGGCCGTAAAGATAAGGCCCATCTCTTCCCTTGCTTTAGGCATAACCATTAGGGCGGTTCCCTGCATCCTTTCTCCAGCCCATCACGGATGCCAATGGAACTGGTTGGTAAGGTGAGCGCACATCGGAAAAACAATAAATCACATAAATGACACGTAAAGTGTTTAGCCCCAGTGTGTTGTCGTAGTTACACACACACACACACACACACACACTCAACCTTGCTGTGCGGACAACACTGCAGCAAGGTCCCTCGTGCGTTGTTCAATGGTGAGTAAAGGTCCAATGACATCATAGCAATCACGCCAAGTGGCCGATCGTAAAAATGCAGAAGAGGTTTGGAACAAGAGATGAGCCAGCAAACTGGGGAGGTTTGTGCTGTGATTGTTGGTGTGAGTAGGTAGGCAACAAAAGAAGAAATTCCGGGGAGGATAATGTGTATTAGTTGTGATCAAGTCCTTCTCAAATATAACAGTGTGTGAGAGAGAGAGAGACAGAGAGCCGATAACAATATATTTTGAACACTCAATTCAATTTTCCTGAGGGTTTCCACAGAGCACATTGGGGAAGCATTGGAAATCCCCCTCATGTCTCCCATCGATGTGCAGCTTAAGCTGAGAGACGGGGGCCGTGTCTTCTAGATGATCTCGGGAAGTAGTGGACGCAAATCTGTCAACTGCGTGTGTGTGTGTGTGAGAGCATATCAGCATCATCACAAAAGCATCTCTGCTGCTGAGGGCGCGTTATCAGGGAGAGCGCTGGGACACATTGGAAAAAGAGATAGCGGGTGAAGTATTTTTGCCAAATCAGACCTGATTTGTAGGAAGATAAACAGCGGCCATCGAAGTTTCCGTCTCCATTTGTCTCGTATTATTCGAAATGTGTTCGTTTCGCTCATCCTTGTGGCCCAGTCATAACTTTACATATTCTTTTTCTATATAGCCATGGGTGTCTATACCGAGACCATCTGGCTCTGTGTGAATAACAGCACTACATGTCCGTTGACATCGGGGGGCAGCACAATGCTGAGGAGAGCAGGAGCGACACACAAGCAAAATACAGATCACAAATGCAAGTATTAGTTCGGCTTATTTTTAATCCTTCCACGTTTCTGATTTTGCTTAAATACTTTCATTCCCGTTTTACTTATAATGCTTAGCCAATAAAATATGGTCATTCAGAAAGACGTGAAGTGAAATAAAGCACAACGCGGTGTCGGATTGGTTCAGAGAAAGAAAGTCATTTTTTTAAGGCACACCTTAATAGTTTGCAACTCCATCACATTTCAATACAATAAACACAAAGTGACAACTGAAGGACAACAAAACCTTAATTGGAATGAACTTCACATGTGTGGAACAAACCGGTTTCACGGCTTACGTTTTTAAAGTCGGGGTGTTTTGTTGAAGAAATGTTATTACCTGGGTAAATATACTATTTGTCGAGTATTATTCAAATATTCACTTTTTGAATCGTCCACATCAGATGTTTATGTCACGATAAACTCAACTCCTCTGGTACCTGTTATATGTGGACAAAGTAAGTAACACAATTACCATTTGAGTGTATCCCGGCTCACTCCACCTGTTAAACTAGCCCTCTACATCCCATAACCTACACAGGGAACCACTTTTGGATCTGTAAATTTACATCAATGACAACAACAACAACAACAACAATAACATCAACAACAACACAAAGTTGTACCAACTTCCAATAGAAAAGTGCCAACAGTAACAATCGATTTTAAATATTATAACAAGTGTCGCAGACTTTGAAGGATCGAGTTAAGCTTGAGGTCAGTAGGATGACCAGACGTTAGTGGAGAGAACATTTACTTACTGATTGTGGAAAAAGCTCCGGTTTCAGATTGACGGGTCGAGCCGTGTGCCATTTCTACGTCGTAAGGCATCCCTCTGAGGCTTCAGAGGCAGGTGTGGTTTCTTAGACATATAGTTTCAGACAGAGTACATTTTAAATCGTATGAACAAAGGCGCAATGTCTGGCCTGGTGTTAATTTGCTTAATTTGTGTTTTCTTGTAAACAACCGGGAATGTGAACATCGATAGTAAGATTCCTCCTCGCCGTGTTATCCAGCTGGGGCTAAATTAACTGTTCAATACCGTCTGCACAAGAACGTTTTCCCAGAATGTATCACCCTACGGGGGCATTTCATGTTGAATAGAAATGTACTGTATAGACATGTGGCACATGTAATTGGTTATTGGTTTGTATTCAATACAAAAGAAGGAAGGGCACAAATATTATTGGACAGAAACAAATTCAAACGCATACAGCAACTGAAAATAAACCTTATCTAGGACTCAGCTTAATCCTTATCTATAAAAACATCCCTAAGGGAATTAGTGTTCACTCACAGCTTTGGATTTTTTTAGTCTCTCTGTGCATAAATGCTGCAGTTGATGAGGAAGCATGTGCAAAGCAAGATTCAGTGCAAAACATATAACACCTACCGTCAACCTATTTCTACATTTTCATGGCTTTATAAGTCTATCGAAGGACCCCGCTGGTCATACGCAGCCTGATCAGTAAAGTTCTTTTTTCACCCCGAGCTTTCCGCCACACCTGGTGGGCTTAACGTCAGCGACTTCATAAAACATCCAAGGTCGAGGATGAATCCTCAAGGTTAACCGTAAAAACATTTTGAGCCAAATGCATTTCAAATTTAGTTTTGACTCAATAGTAACTAGGAGCATTTAGAAGGGAAATTAAAACTCGCACCCTGGGACATTGCACAAAATGCCTTTGATAGCCTGACTAGCTAAGCTAAGCATAATGACCGCTACAACCATGGATCTGCTGCTATAATAAAGTGAGCCATTCATGCCCAAGCCTACAGTTCAGCTCTTCATTTTCTATCTGAGAGGAATCTGTGGTTGCGCTCTTAAAAATAAAAAAAGACCTCAATACACCTTTATTAACCTCTCCGATTGAACGCGTCGTACTCTTAGTCTCGTGCTCAAGTCCGCCATCACGTCGGGTCCATTTCCGTCGCACTGGAGAACCCCTGTCGTGTTGAAATAACTGGAACCAACCGAATGCGCCGACTGAGAACAGTCATCCGAGTGTCCCGCCCGAGTCAGCGGCAGCACGTGGGCGCAACGCACCGACAACCACGTCAGACATTATCAGTGAAACAGCCGAGCAGGTGGGGCATTGTCTCCTCCTCGTTTTTTGGAAAGGGGGAGGGTGACCTCCTTTCCAATTCAGCTCGCCGCCCAGAGTGGAGGCCGAGCGGACCGCTGAGCACCGGAGTGATGTAGACGAGTGTGACACCAGTGACACTCTGCTGAGAGTCGTCCTTCTTTTGCGACGGCAAAGCGCGAAAAAAAAAAAAAGCCTCGGCCTTGCATGGCTTCTCCTCAAGGAGTCCATTACGCTGGCGCACATCTGCAGATCTGGATGTGTTGTTGTTTTGGGGGGAAGGAACATGAGAGATGAGTGCCTGTGCCGACAGGAGGGTGTGTGTCGTTGTGTGAACTGCTGATCTACAAGCTGTGGGCAGGTGCAAGTGGTAAGGGGGATTAGGTTTGGGGTCACGGCGCGCTATCCTGATAAGTATGCAGCCGGTTCGACGTTGTTGTTCTGGCCGTCCTCGATCGCCTTGTTCTTCTCGCTCGTGGACAGCTCAGAGGAGACCGCCGAGTCCACCGCTCTCTTTGATCTGTTGAGTAAAGAACATCGTCGTTAGGACGTAACTTTAGCCTGTGATGGCTACAGAATAGTAGTTTGGGTTTTTGTTATCATTTTTAACTTTACCATAGACTTGTAATGGCCAAAGTTAGCCATTTTTACAGATATTTCAAAATGTACTGTGACTTTTGGACTTTTTTTACTTTAAAAAATAGGCCTGGCTGCTGTCGAGACGCCGTTTTGCAGGTTTCTTACTTTTCTCTGTTGAAGACGATGAAGTCTCTGTGGACATTATCCAATCTCTGCTGCAGCTGACCGTTCTGCAGGGGAGACAACAAGACACAGAACTTCATAAACTCAGCTGCTGGCAATCCCCATAAAGCAACAACAAAATCTTCAGTCCTTATCAATCCCATCGATGTGCACACAGCCGTTTAGGTGTCACTGGTCGGAGACTTGCAGCAGACCGCACTCACAACTCTCCTCACGTACCTTGACCTGACTTTAGAGGACACTTGTGGTCTGATGTCCCCACCTGCTCTCCGCGCACTCATGCATATTTTTCCCCACTTAATCACGTTCGAAAATCCGGCTCTCTCATGCCGGACTGTTGTCACACGCCTGTGTAGTGTATACAGAGACAAGTGGACAGGTGCTCTGTCACTGTCCCTGGGAGGCAGTGACGAGTGAGATCATAGAGATACGTCACTATTTGTGCGCTTCACTGTGCGTGTCTCTGCCTCGGAGACAGCCCAGCAGAGACATAAAACCAGAACATGGAGCAAAGGAGCAGAAGGCTTTGTTCATTTCCTTGTGCAGATGATGATTGTTTCGACCAATATTACCTCTGTGTGCATTATCTAGGCTCAATGAAATTCAGTTTACATAATGCTTCTCCAGAATGACTCTGCTGAGGTTAGTGCATCCGAGGACATGCTCCTAATCCTCTCAAAAGCCGTTTCCCCCCCAAAACACCCCCCACCGCCCCCAGTCGCGTCCAGGTTCACTGAAAACCCCCTGCAGGAGAGACATGTTTGGCTCCCTGCCCGGAGCAGTCAGTCCCACAGCCCAGCAGAGAGGCTCTGTGTGCAGGTGCCGTCGCAGCGAGGCAGCCGCCACTCGCAGACCAAAAGCCATCAACTAAATTACGGCAGGGAACCAAGAGGGAGCGCCGCCGCGTGTGTGTGTGTGTGTGTGTGTCCATGTGAAAAGTGAAAGAGGAGGGATGAAGGAGTACAGTCTGCATTATGTCATTATCTCGCATGCGTGCAGCAGCAAGTCGGTTTTCTGCGTTGAGGGACCCTTTCACAGCAGGAAAACGACAAATCGTCAACATAACTGCAAAGACACCAATCATCCAGCCGGAGCCTGAGAACACAGGGTGTGTTGGTGTGCGGGTGATGATGCAGAATACTGAGAGGACAAAGAAGCAAACAGGCAGCGAGAGAAAAAGGGAGGAACACTGCGTATAATTTGGTGAAGTTCAGCGATGTATGTGACAGAGGAGGCGCTGAGTGTGATGGAGGGTTTCTCATTTCACAATGACATGTCCTTACATCTCAAGGCTTGATCAAACCTGACAATAAAAGCACCACATTTGCATAACCCTTTCCCCCGGTTGATTTAGTTAGCAGATCTTCTGGCGTCGCTGTTTTTAATCGTGTTTCAAAAATCGAGGGAACAGACTTTGTTGTTTGCAGCAATCACAGGTTGAACAATAGGCACTTCTGACTAAAGTGAAACTCTTACTGGCCTTGGAGAGAGAGGCAATGCATCACCGCCTCTCTCTGCCGCCCCCCTCTCTCTTTTCTTATTTGTTGCTTTTAAAAAGGCAGTTCAGAAGCTAATTGCTTATATTAAACTTTCAACTTAATGAGACAAACCATCAGGGAGCCACTCTGGAAGAAGAAAGTACAAGTGTGCACTAAATTATAATACATTGACTCAATTTGCTCTATTATAGAAAGTACAAAATACATCTTATGCATTTATCACGCTGTTTTCAGACCATTGTTGTACGCAACATATCAAAGCAGATTTCAGTAAGAGAAATTTTGCAAAAAGTAATTATCCTTAGATTTTTTACCCCAATGGGAATATTGAAAAAATGTTCTTAGGAGGAGCGCTCCTGTCCACATAATTAAAACAGCATCATTTTCAGTTGCCGTGCCATTTAGTTTAAAATCTACAACGAGTGCGCTACAGCTGTTTAAAGGCTTCTGAAGGTATTCCTGCATGAAGACGAGCTCTGACTGGTGTCTAGTGTCACACGGAGATGCGTCCTCTTGATTTAAGTGGCCACCTGGAACCAGCAACAAGCCAGTGGGACACCAGCAGAAACCTAGTCTATTAGAGACTTTACAGATGTTTCACAAGCGCATGGAGGAAGCAGAGTGTGAAATAACAATAAATCGGAGTGCTAGTGAGGGCTATTTGGGCGACAGGTGAAAAAGATTGCAAAATCTAAACCGTAAATCAATGTATCATGTTCTCAAATTGAAAGAACGTAATCCTTGAATGAAGTGAGGGAAAAGAGCTCTGTTGCTAGCAGACAGAATGGCTGAAGGACGTTTGTTTTCCAGGGAAAGACGATGTGGGGAAGAGATGTGTTTGTGTGACGGGAGGCCAACCATTTATTTTGTCCTCACAGCTCAATTCCAATTTCCTGTTGCTTATTATCAGTGATTCGATTGAGCTAATTCTTTGCTGCATCATGAGCGCAGCGGGAGCACCGAGGCAGGGAGATAAAAGAAGAAGAGAAACGCATCCGTGCGTGTGGGACGACCGATAGTGACACGTAAACGGCATCGTCGAAAGGGTGCGATGACAAGGGAGAGAAATAATGTTGGACTGGAGAGGAGGAATATGCTAAAAGAATACAGAGCAGCCTCGCGGTAATGAGTGAGAAGCTGGCCGGGGCAGCATTAAGCCAACGGGCTCACTTCATTCAAAATTGATCTGCTGTGTTTCGGGAATGCTTCACAAACCATCTCCCTCTCTGCTTCATGGACACACACACACACACACGCGCACACACGCGCACATAAAGATTCAAGCGTTCTTATGTGCATCCATCACAAGTGGCCCCAGTGGTCCCTCGTAAATGGATATGGAAATGGCCTTGCACAAAAGCAAACCGATATTTATAGAGCTAATAGAGGTATTTATAAAGCTAAATATTCTCCCTGTCAGAAAGGCCGATGGTTTGTTTGTCCTTTTTTTGGTTGAGTGCGGATGTCCCCGTGATCTTGTCCCCGCTTCCTCGTTATCTTGTACCTGCTCCCTCTGAGGCATTTTTGTACTACAGTTAATTAAAAGTTAGTTTGAAAAATGTATCAAAAACATCTGTAAAAGTGATGCTGAGGTTTTGGGCAAAGGTTTAAAAGGGGAGAACAGATTACTGAGAGTGTGTTTTTGAATGTTAAGCTGCCAAATTGGTCGGGCTCTATAAGGGGACTAAACCATCTCATTAAAAAAAGATTCCTTAATCCTTTGTAATCTCTTCAAGACAGTTCATAAATAAAATCGTAACCATTATTGCTACTTACTTTTTATAAACCTCACTGATCTGAAATAAATAAAGAATGCGTTTAAAACCATTTCGAAGTTGCATTCTCCATTTTCCTGTGAAAGAATAGTTCTAGCCCTAGTTTGTGCTGCATTAATCTAATCTAATTTAATCAATGCAAACCATTCACTGTCACATCCTCTGTGGCCATTCACACTTTTTACTGAAAGGCTACTAACATTATTCCATTTGTCTGAATTACATTACAGGTCCTTTAGCTGACGCTTTTATCCAAAGCAACTTACATGGCTTTTAACATTTTTGCCCAGGAATCAATTAGGGCTTAGGTGTCTTGCTCAGGGACACTGTGACATGGAGCAGCCGAACTGCCTCGAACAGTTCGAACTGCCAACATTGCGGTTCCCTGGCGCACCCTCTCTACCCCCCTGCGTCACATCGACCCATGAATGAATGAATGAATGAGATAGCGCTGATATATGCACAGGTCTCCAAAAGCAGCCGTCAGCTTCCATTTAAACATGGCGCACTTTGGGCAAGCGCTCACTTCTTATTTTAAGCCGGCAAAGTGTGTGCTGCAGACTCAGGACCCAACAAATTGTTTCCCTCCTATTAGAAAAGAGTCCCATAGAATAGTGGGAGACAGTCCAAACCTATTAACTTTGTAATGACATTGGTTGTGTGTGTGTGTGTGTGTGTGTGTGCGTGTGCACAATAAGCTATGTTATGCATATACAAACGGAGTTATTGTTGGACTCTGACCAGACAGAGCGCATCCATTACTGGTAGGAGGAGCACATGAATGAAAACATGACCTCTAGTAAAAAGAAAAATGGAGAGAATCCTAGAAATACAATCCTGTGGTTTGTCCTTTTTATTTTGATAAACGCACCTTATTGTTGGTTTTAAAGGCGTGTCCCTAAATTCTTTCTCGTGGCAGGAGCATGTTTCTACGGTTCTCCCTCCCACACCGCTCCACTTGCTCTTTGACCTCTAAGGCGGCCCAGCAGCAAACGTGTCAAATACTACGTCCCGTATTCTGTATTTGAATGTATTTGTGCACGAAAGTCAAGTGCTGTCAAAAACAGCAGCGTAGTCAGCTGTGATGAAGGAAGATCCTCCCACAACTCACCTGACCAGCTGATCAAATTAACCTTTCAGTGATTTCCTCTCTGTCTTTTCATGAACACCCAGAGGACGAGAGCTGATTTATGGAGATGGATCGTCAGAGTAAAATAATGGAGCCAGAGTCGGGGCTGCAGGTGATTGCTTTCCTCGCCTTCCCCGTGCACTCGTCAGACAGACGGACCATTCATTCTGCTCAAGGTGAGGGAGGAGACAGCTCTAAAAATGTGCCCTCAATATTCTCAATAGCTCAGTGGACACATTTAATAGACAAACTGAGGGGTAATGTGTTCCCTTTTAAATAAGCCGGATGGAACCGTCGGCCATCTTTCTGCGAGGAACAATGACACACAGGGAGAGACACTTGGTCGATTAATGAAGGTTTTTTTACCTGTGGAGACCCGTCAGATCCCTGCTCCTTGTTTTTTCTTGCGAGCCGTTTCTTCTTCTTGTGAAGTGGTTTGGACTCCAGGATCATTTCCTCCAGCTCAAATGTGGGGTCACAGTTTAGTCTCCGCCTCTATATAGAGATAAATGATCGTTTCTTCAAAACCATTGCTTCTGAAAAAGAAAAATCTCCTGAACAGCACATTACAACTGTGTATCACTTGCTATCTTCTTATTGTGGCATGTGTCTTTGCCTACATTGAGAGGAAAAACTGTGGTGGATCAAACTCAAACAATGCTCAGGGGTCAAATCGCAGAAATCCGATAAAAACAGAGCAGACTGCATCCTGGGAAGTTAGGAAATGAGACATAAAGGTTTGAGTTCTCTCTTCCTGTGTAGATATTAGCAGTCTATAAGGCACAGAGGATAAGCCTATAATTAGATGGAGACACACTGTCAATTCCGCATCGATCCTCTGTGCTGTTTTGCCAGCGCTGCCCGCTGGGGAAACCTGCTGCTCTGCAGGCGCAGAAGACTTTGAGCGTTTGAGAAAATCATCGAGTCATCTTTGCACTTCCAGTCATTATTCTGCCCGAGCGCCGGCACAAAGGACTTAAAGTCGTTGTCACCTTGCTTTACTAAAACTATAAGAGCCGTCTTTAGGGCGAAAACATAAATAATACATGTCAAAAAATTCTCCAGCTCAAGCATCCAATTTGTGAAAGTATTCTTTTAACCATAAGGTGGACAGAAGTGAGTCACTCGGCCAACAATATCTTCCCCGAAATGTTCCGGAACCCCCCCTGCAGGGCTCTATGGCCACATATACACCCGCCACCACGTCTGTCTCTGCAGCTGGGTGTCCGAGTCTCTCAGTGGGAGATCCCGCTCAGCCCAGCAGGGGGTGGTGTCTACAGACCCACTAGAACGGATCAGATAAGGAGGAGGTAGTTCAGACCCCCCCCTCTCTGCACCGTAGTCACCTTGAGGGGACGTGCCGCTATGTGAATAGGTGTGAGAGAATAATAGAAGGAAGAGGAGTTTCAGTGATTGATGCCATTTTGCTGTAGATGTGAGGAAATGGCGACGTCATACATCATAATGTATCCACTGATGGTCACTGAGAGCTTCATTTCTTTCCCTAATGTCAGAACGGAAGAGCGATTCTATTCAGAGCATTTTGTTGGGCAGCACACCGAGGCAGGGCTCAGTTTATCTTGAATACTCACATTGGGAATAAAGCCCGGTGGAAGCTGTTTGCTGAGCACAGCGTCCCAGTTGACAGGTGACATGTAGTCCAGATCCTGCAGCTCTGCTAGACACGAAATGCGCTTCTGGACATTTATGCACAGCAGCTGAGAGGGACAAAAGAATCAGAGTAAGAATAATTGTCCATGGGGAGGCACGGCTTGAAAGGTGATGTCCCGCCGAGACGGGAGCACATGTTTGCCCCGAAGTATGTGTCTCAGAATGAGGACACGGGGACAGAGGGGCTGGAGGTGGACGGACATTGAGGAGGAGGTGTGGATTGGAAACAGAAAAAACGACGTACAGGGAGGAATCAAATGGTGATTAGTGGTTGTGAACTGTGAAGGACAAATATATTGAGCATGGAATACTCCCCTTACATTCTCACTTTCTATACATCTCTCTCTCTCTTTCTCTCTCTCCCACACATTTACACATGCGACTAGAATGCCAATGATGCTCGAGGAGTCTGAGCACGAAGCAATGCAACAGTTTGACTGCAGCGGATCGCTGGCAAGACAAAAAAACCCCCCAAAATGCTACAGTGACGGTGCATCTGCTGGCTTTGTAAGTGTCACAAGGATAACAGTCCTTCTTAATTTGAATCGAGAACAGACTGATCAAATAATAATAAGCAAGTTGCATTAAATGAGAATTGCTTTTACAACGTGAGTCACAACACAACAACTCCTGTTTTTTGAATACCATTCAATATGCGGACATCGTGAAATGAGGCGCTGGTGTCGCAGGAAATTAGAAGCAACACCAATTCGTGAAAAAGATCCTACCGGGGAAACTGGTATGATGTTGGCAGTTTGCTAGTGAGGTAATTGGCAAGCGTAGGTTTAGTATAATGTGTGGTGGACCTAATTCAAAGACACATCTGCTGTCCAATGTCACCCTCTCCCCCCAGCACACAGATGACAGAGGATTGGCACCCGCTACACATTCCCAGCGGCCGGTCTCTCCCGATCCAACTGGTCGTGTTCTGGTTTTGGTTTGCTGAGTACAGCGGTGAGAGGTGCGGCGTAGCTGGTGTGGTGAATTCAGTCCGCGTCCACGTGCTAACCTTTCTGAGTAGAGACTTCATCTCCAAAGACCAGGCTGCCGGGTAGCTGGGGTGGACCTTGTGGAAGGTCTGGAGGATCTCATTAGCAGGTGTACAGGATCTCATCACATAAGGTCTCTGAAAGGAGGAGAAGAGGAGAGCACGTTGCAGAGGAGTCGTATCCATCGCCATGCGCTGCCTGGGGGAGTTGCTTTGATAAAGTATTTGTTTCTAAGCTACTTCTTCTTCCTCTCTCTTCTGCTCCCCTTCTGTGAACCCATTTCCTGCACTGATCACAAAAAATGATAGAGGAAGCAGAAAATGAGGAACTATTCCCAAAAGCACTTATGCCCGTTTCCTTTCAGCACCACTGAGCTTGCAGTGACTCAGAAAACAAGGGCAAGCTCGTTGACCGTTCTTCACACCAATCCTGCTCCACCCTCCGGTGGTTGTGGGGGGGAGGGGAGGGTGGATGGTAAGAGACACTCGACTTGGAGAACGACACAGCGAGCCAACACAGCTGGATGAGGCTGATTTGAGGTGAACAACTGGCCCCGTTACGGCTTGATTAGATGATTCTTCAGAGGGGCTTTGACGGAAAGACTGATGCGTGATGTCAGTTACGTTCCCCACACAGGGCACACGTAAGGTGTCGGCTAAGACAGTCATAGGTTATTTTACAGTCAGATTTTCAGGTGAGAGAAGGCAGAAAGTGTTCCAATACATTTGTACAACTTTGGAAATGTATGTCTTGGTGTCTAATTCACGAGGTATTCTTTTTAGATAATAAACTAGCTAAAGATAAAGTATAGGATGACTTTTGTAGTAGTGAAACCGCTGAAGAGGGAACGGTGCACCTGAAAGCCCCTCGGAGAGAGAGGCGGGGAAATAAAATGACATTTCAAGGGGCATGTGAGGGCGACGGGCAGAGAAGAGGAGTTAAGGAGAGGGTTTGTAAAAGATGCAGATTAAACAGGAACTTACAAAAACGTCCATGTCCCCCTAAATGGATTCTGGGTGAGTCTGCTCAGCAGTTTCCTACCTGAATGACTGAAGCTTAAGAGGTATGAGAGAAGACTTCAGGTAAATGGTGCTTTGAGCTCAAAAAACAGGACAGAACGTGAGATAAAGTTTGAGCTCTAAATATATTCCAGTGGGAGTACGATGTAAGTGGGTCAGAATTTGTTTTAAAGAGCAAAATTGATAGTTCGTAGGTAAAATAACTGAACAGTTTCATGGAGAAAGGTGAGAGGAGGGTATTGAGATGCCTACATAGATAAATAGAAATGATATCAGGAACTCTACATGCCAGCTCCAGATCAGTTTCAGGTGTTTTGGGTCCTTCTCAGTGTAGACAGAGGTTATTGTAGTTTGTGTAACCATCCCCCTGAAATATGAGAGTAGGAACTCTGCAGCTGCAGTTAGTTTGAAGGTCCGGCCTTATTTATAACCAAGATTCCATGACATGAGGATTAAACTTCTCCAGATGGGACCGGCGTGCAATTAAAGTAAGTATTTAACAAAATCTATTAGAAAAAAATCTATTCCAATTATGTGACTCTTGAAATAACTCATTCTATTTGCTCATTCTGCAGCAGCCATTCGTCTCACACCGCGACTAAACATTTAGGCATCTTTCTCAGTAAGGTCAGCTTACCCCCCTCCCACCCCCCCCACACACACCTCCATCCCCCCTTGGTTTTGTGATGGCCGAGGTCTCGCTGTATGTCTTCTTTAGGAAGTACCCACCCAAGTGAAGTGTGCCAGACGGCCAGATGTAATCGCACAATGGATGAAGAAAGGTAGAGTCACCTGTCCTCTGAGCAGCTCGTACGCTGTGATGCCCAGCGACCACCAGTCGACAGAGAAGGAGTAGCCCGGGTGGGACCCCTCGAAGGTTTGGAACAGCTCAGGAGCTGACACATAGAAGGTGTGACACAACACAATCAAATATACACACACACACACAGGTGTGGGATGATAATAGATTTAGAATAGATTTGCTTTGGTGTTTGTGTGTTATTGATCCCTTTTCCTCGTTTTGCTTTGTGGACATTTAGTTTATTTTAACTATTGGCCTTTAAAGTCGTGTCTATTTTGTCATTTAGACTCTTTTAATACGCCGATGTTCCACAATGGCTTTATTCAAACATAGTTGCAAAAAAAAAGCTGAATCCGGAGGGATTTTAAAACCTACTTTGCACTTGAAGCCTTAATTAATGACCATCAGCACTGCGTGGGACCCGCGTTCCCTCCTCTCACAGCACATGGCCTCAGGAATTTTCTCTTCCACTTTATCACTCATTAAATGCATTTGGCATTGAGTACTGAAGATGTTGGAAGGGCTATTGGAACGTTAGCAGGTTTGACCTTGGGTGCTTCTGTAGATATGAGACTAACTTTAGTCTAGCTGTTAGATTTACAGCTAATGTTGCATGTCTGAAGGAAGCTTGTGAGACGGTATAACGCATGTTGTGTATGTTACTTCTAAATGTCTCTACAGACCAGCTTGAGCTCATAAAGTGGTTGTTGGGGTTGTGGGAGAAATAGAGTCCACTATTCTTGCCGGAGGCGATTCATTATCGGGATCAATAATTTGGAGCGAGTGTAGAATCAGAATGTGTCTGTTATGAATATTTCACCAAAGTGGTTTTCAAATCAAATCAAAGATTCCGTCATTCATCACTTCTGTCTACGTGAGACATAATCTACAGCTAACACCACGGCGTACTCACCACATAAGATCATTCTGCACCACGAGCACACACTATGCAAGTAAAAAGCAGTGGCACGCACACATGCACAAAAAACACACAACCGTGCGGCGGCCTCGTTATTCACATCCCCCCTGAAAATCCCGTTAAGCTCCTATCTGATCTCCCAGGAACTGGATCCTCATCGACCTGACCGCTACTGGACTACAGAGCCACGAGGAGGGCAGAAAACAAAAGGATGAATGCTGTTTTTCCTTCTTTAAAACACCTCTCTCAGGTTTTTGGACTCATGCACATACTTTTGTTGAACTATTACGCACACATTTTGACAAAGAAAAGGTTTTAACGTCTCGATATATTATAAATGTTAAGTATTAAAGGTTCAGCAAAGTAATACCTTTTATTGGTCAATAGCCGCCCACTTATTTGTACCTGAATCCTTTTCCTGGCCGGTTATTAATATCAACAAATGTCAAACTGTGAACTTGGCTTCAGGGCATTAACTGTTGAAATGCGTTTTCTCTCAATTGCTGCCTTGTTCAGGAGATTTACAGGTTTGTACAGAAATGATTTCCAGTGTTGTTTTTTTCTGTATTTTCTTTATGTGCCTCAATACATATTTAATTCCTTAACAAATCATTCCATTTCCCTTATCAATCATAATCATTTCTAGATGTGTTTTTATGTGAGAATCGGTATTTGTACCATGTGCTGGGTGTGTTGGCACTTGTCTCCTCTAATGTGTCCCGCAGGCAGGGCTTACCAAAGTTAGTCTCTAATATCCCTTCAATGTCATGTGGAATTTGGATTAGCAAACGTAAGCAGGCTCAGTGGAGTTTTTATGAATAATGTCCCATCATTTCTCTAAATTAAAGATATTAGTTCACAGATGTTTCCCATTTAGCTTGAACTTGATGCCCCTGGCATTAAAGTTTTCTGGTGAAGCATGCTCTCTTACCCATGTAGGGCTTGGTCCCAGCGATGGACGTCGCCTTCAGGTCCTCCTTCACAATGGCGGCGATGTTGAAGTCTGTCAGATGGACGTGTCCTGCAGAGCAGAGGGAAGATGTTGCCTCAAAGGGACACGGAGGATGCTCACTTGTGTGCGGCCCATCAATCCTACTGTCCATCAACATTAGCTTTTTTCCCTTTTCCAAGCACAGGGTAAATTTAGCAGGTATCCCTAATCCCATTTGATTAGACAACATAATATAAATGATGCCTTGTCCTTTTTGCACGCTGACAATCAATGCATTGAGGACATTAAACGGTATTGAATGCAAATGGACTCCGGCTTTGTTGACGGAACAAAACACGTGTGTTGTGAGGGTTTAAGCGGCGACCTCAATGAAAGTCAAAGTCAAACCATTGACCTGTGTCTCACCATGCTGCAAGATGGCCCAGAGTCTACGACATGCACACTGAGCACACGCTAATGAGCTGAAAGTGTGTGTGTGTGTGTGTTTGTCATACTGAGTGAGACGGAGCTGTAGAGGTTTTGCCGCAGGGTGATTGTTCGGATGAATGGACGTCCTCAATCACTTCACAAACACATAAATAAATGAATAAATATGTATATATAAAGCAGCCACCGACGCTGAACTTTAAAGATAAGGGAACTGCACATAGAAATCCCCTCTCGCCTTCCTCCTCCGCTGCATCAATCTCCATTACCACACCTTTTCTTTCTGTTTGCCTTTTTATCACCGTCCTCCTCTCTTTTCCGTTTGCCTCCCATTTGGTAACTGTCCTCTTCATTATTCAGCCGTTCTTTTCCTCCCTCCATAAAGCTGCTGTTGTAAGTCTCCCTCTTTCTGTGGCCCTCTGTGTCCTTTAGCGTCGGATAAATCCTGAACTATGCTCACACACTGATGCGTTCTAATCTGCGGCGGATGAATTTAACTGCGTAGCGTGTTAGTGCAGGGAGGAGATTGGCTGGTGCTTTGCAGGTAGAAAAGGACCATTGTTAGTGCAGCCAGATGACTGTGACAGAGGACCAGGAGTGGTAAGCGTGAGTGAGGCAAAGCGTCTTTTGGTGTTTTCATACGCAATGACGAGAGTCAGAGTGTGGTTCGGTGTGTAGCCGTGTCGTGGTTTAAGAAATGTGGTAATGGTAGCGGGACACAAACATGGCACAGTCAGAGAGAACTGGTTTGGGTCAGAGAGAGATTAAAAGATGAGCTATGACACAGTTTGCAAATCTGCATTATGGAAAACGTACAGGACGTTTCCTCGGGGCTCCGTCACCGCAGAGTGGAACGCTTGTGATAGACGGATGTGATAGACAGTGGTTCCTGACTGGTGATTCAAAAAGTGAATCCCCCGCGGAGAGAAAGAAGGAGCTCCGGGGCTCAACACTGACTTTTAGAAGAGGCAGTCGTCAGCTACTGGTTATGTAACATAAAAGCTTGAATACAGTAGCGAACAAAAGTTTTAGTTTTCATAAGTCGATTAAAATAATTTGTATCCTGCATATTTGTTATCAGCATATTTTGGGGGGGAAAAAAATGTTTGGTAACCTGGCAACCCACTGTGCATTTTTCTTTTTTGTATTAAAAGCCTTTATTGCACTATTTGTAAGTAGGCCCTTGCACTTACTCGTGTATGTGCACTTAATGAAGAGAATGAACAGTTCAGAGTGGCAGTATTCCATTAAAAATCGAATGAAATCTCTGGCTTTAAAAGCTTTGGCTTAAAGCTTAACTCCCGTTTGTCATCCGTGTTGAACTTTGAGGTGGCTGAGCAGTTACCTGCTTTACTCAGTTGTCTAATGTGTGTTACTGTCCGGTTTCGTCCTCGGGTTACGTCACGCTGCTGCCTGTCTCTTCTGTTTTCTATTCTCTTTGCAGTATGTCGGCCATTTCAAACATTTGCATAGCAGCTTTATGTAAGATGACTTAAACTACGTTGGACTGTTTGACAAAGTCGCAGCAATGAAGCCACAGCAGACGTTCAGCGCTCTCCGATGCATCGTGGCCTCCGCGTTAGCTTGCAGGCTCGTGTTGTTTCTGCAGCCTTCCAATATGCTGAGAGGAGGAGAAAGCTGCGGTTTCCCTCTCGCACAGTGTCGCCTCTTAATGCACCGCTCTCTTATGAAGCATGCGTACGTGCTCGCAGTCATTAACCCCCAGACGACGGGCGATGCCGTTCAATAAAACGACACCCCGTAAGTAAATTGTTTTTCTCTCTATGACTCGGCTCCCGGGGGAACACGGGGGGGGGGGAAACGGGTCGATTCGAGCTTGCAAAATGGACATGGAGTGCAGACGTAACACCCCCCCCCCCCCACACACACACATCCCCCCCCCCACTGGTGTTTTAAACTTTAGTGGAGAGGGGCAGAATACAGGGCTGCCTCCACAAACAGAGTGGGGGTGGAATGCACGCGTAGGCGAGAAGTCACTTGTCGAGTGAAGAGGACACGCACACATACAGCGCTTTTAGTGAGAGTGAGAGAGAGAGAGAGAGAGAGAGAGAGAGAGAGAGAGGGAGGAAGCACAGGTGGACGTCGGTTGTCCTTTTGAAATCAGGGTTAGTTGCCTTCCTCTTCTCCATCTTTATCATCCTACTTTCCATATATTCTACTTTCTTTTGTCTACTCAGACTTCCTTTGACAAATCCTTCTCTCCAGAAATGTTTGCTCATCACTTTCCTCTTTCCTCTTGTATCCTTGATGCTACCGCTCCCTCCCTCCCTCTCTCTCCCTCTCTCTCCCTCCCTCTCTCTGCCTTAGCGACAGCAGGGCTGTCATCCCACACAGCCCTTTAGCAGCTGCCCTGTGCCCTCCCAGATCACAGGCCTGTGTGTGTGTGTGTGTGTGTGTGTGTAGCCTTCTGGCCAAAAGTTAAAGGGCACTTTTGGTCTTGGGTTATTTTTCAAAGAAAGGTTTTTATGATGTAGTTCCAACTTAGGGAATATGAAGGCTTCTCTATAGTTTGCTCGTTACCTGTGAAAAAACATCTAAAATGAAAACAACTCAAGGACACTTTAGTGTGAGTGACTCAGCAAACCTCGCTTCTATCTATTTGACTCTAAATGGGACCATTATGAACATCATGTTGTATTGTAGAAGACTTAAAACTAGAGATTTGGAACAAAAACTCCCACCTACAATGTTTTTCTGAGGTAATAAATCAAGTGGGGTTATTTTTTAATAGACTTCTATTCAATAAGACATATGTTTGCCAGCAGAGGAGAGCCTCCCCCTATGACAGTTCTGCATTTGCTTCACTTTTCTGAAGCAGAGGTTGCCGCCTAGTCTGTATACAGCAGATGAGCACTTGATTCATGGTTTATTTTGCACTCGGACGGCACTGTCGTGCTCTCGTGCTTCACTGGAAGCTGAGTGAGTGCATTGCTTTTATAATCTGAGAACACAAAGAAAACAGTTATTTTGCCAAATCCCCATTAAACCACCTGCTCTTTGACTCATAGGGTGCATTGCTTTTGATGGGACGGATGTTCCTGTCTCCAAGCAAAGCTTAGAGGAGCTAAGGGTGTCTCGATATATTCAGCTACATTCTTTGGGAAGTAGTTCCGACTGGATTTATATGTTTTTTGGAGGAGACAAAATCGCTGAGAACTGGAATATGCACTCCTCTGTTTGACCTGCATGGACTTCTTTTTAATAATTCATAAAAGGTCAAGGGTCAGTCCAGGAAAAACTAATTAGATGTCGACCCGGTGGAAACTATTTATTCTCCATGCAACCCAATGTGCGTTTCTCGATAACAAGTCATAACCTGTAGCAATTTCATATTCTTGATTAACATATTGACGAATAAATTTTGTAGCCAGTCTTTTTGTCAGCTGTATTTACAATGCACAAGTCACTCTGACACACACACACACACACACACACAAACACACACACACACACACACACACACACACACACACACACACACACACACACACACACACACACACACACACACACACACACACACACACACACAGTGTGTGTCTTTCTATTCATGTCAAACTGAAATGGACAAAAAGCCTAGTAGACTTGATCAATCATTGAGGGCGGCCAGCGAAGGAGGCATCATTAATATCACCCCGTCCTCCACAGTCCGATGACATCACTCATCCAACATTTCAGTAAAAAAAGAACACTGAGTTAATGTCACAGAGCTTCAACCAACGCCGCGTGGACAGAAAATAAAGATCCCCTTGTGCAATGATGAAAAACAATTAGGTGGCTTTTCTTAGTTTATGCCGCAAGGTCTTTTTAAGCCCCGGCGGTGCAACCTGCCGCTGAGCATTGCTCCTTTTGATCTGTGAGTAACCCCAGAGGTCTGAGGTACGGTGAAATCCTGAGTCAGAAGCTGTTACGTCTTCAATGTGGGACGCCAAGTCAACTCAGGTCAACATTGAAAAAATTTCAGCCAAATCTTGTTGTGCTGGACTTTGAATGTCACCCACTCAACTCCACATCGGTGGCTGGAAACGTAATATAATTAGAAAGAGGATCTCACCGTGTTCATCCAGCAGGATGTTGTCAGGTTTGATGTCTCTGGAAGGGAGAACAGAAACGGTATAATTAGTGGAACGGTGGAATTAGTCCATTTCTTTGTTTAGTGAGTATAATCAGGAACAGATTGTGTTTGCATATCATTTCCGTGCAAATTTGTGAAATAGAATGTGTAGAATAAAATGTGGAGTAAGAATATGAAAACGCTAAGCGTCGAGCCTGCACGGAGGCGTTTGTACTCTGTGCAGAGTTTTGTTGCATCTGTCTGTTCAGGGGAATTAAAATGAAGTGTGAAGTGTAACTTTGAGACTTTGTAGCCAGTTTGGTTGTTTAGACGTGAGAACTTTTATTTACCCCATTCGGCCAGTCGAAGGATCGAACAGCTCACAGCAACCAAATATATTGTTTGGTGTCAGACTGTGATGACACCTTTAAGTCCCATCACACCGTCACGCATTAGGTGCATTATTAAAGTGTGCTTTTATATAGTAATCGACACGATTTTTTATGTCTATTTCTGGTATGAAGTTAGAAGTCAGCAGTGTTTCAGCAGCACACTCCACACAGTCTACCTGTAAACAAAACCGTGTGGGCGGCAGTCGGATGTGTCATTCGGCGCTGGTGACGCTTGAGTTTCTGTAGGTGGAACCCTGTTCTTTGTCCTGCCGGGGAGGTTACATTGCTTTTATCCGTTATCAGGGTTTTACACCAGCCGCATTCTCTGCTGCTCAAGGCTCGCAACGAAACACTTCCTGTGTGTCAGAGGAATGCCCAAACCTGTGTGAACGGATCGACAAATAAAAAAGCTCTCCGGGGATGAATGTGCGAGTTGGCTGACTCACTGTTTTGTTGAGTCAAGTGACAGAAATCCACATGTACTACACCCAGATAGAAACTTCCTCCCGTTGCCTCTCTCTTATTTTTCTACATCTACTACCTACTTGCTTTGACGCCACCTAAGTCCTAATGGCGTGCAGAAGGACGCTGCGTATACTGGTGTGTACTGTGGCTGTGCTTCAATGCGCAGTAAGAGACTTATCTGCAAAGTACCGGCTGAAGGAAACATTTCGTTCGGAGGATGGAGAAGACACTTTGAAATCCGACCGCAACAAGACACATCCGCGAATCTGATTGGAATCCCATATCAAACCAAATGGGATTTAAAAACCGATGGCATCAAATTCTCAATATGCCCCAAAAAGGGCCTTATTTCTACTTCTACTTCATCGAGTACAAGTTTTTCTGTTTCTGCTACTGCAATAATTTGCTTTAATAGAAATGACAAGCTTTTTTTCCAACACATACCTAATCAGAGCCGGGAGAATGAGTCATTAGCCTGCAGACTTTGTTCTGATTCACTCGACTTTCACTGCAATGCATTTTTTTGTGACGTTCAGCCACTCGCGTCTCCTTTGCTGTTTTGTTGACACATATTTGTCAATAAATGCTCTCCTCTCTGAATCACCCTTTCTTCTCGTGACAGTTACGTGCTGTTGCTTCTGAAATGCTCTGCTCTGTATTGGAAATACAAAAAGGTAAATTTATAGAGAGAATTCATTTTGAAACAGATGTCATCAACACACACTGAGTTTTCCCAGATTGTCACAAAGGCACCGGAGTACAAATGCCCTTAAAGGACCGTCAGCCACTACAAAGAGGAGTTTAGTGCTTAATGACCTCCCTCCTGGCCTTTTACTTCCATTCAAAGCAAAATCATTCATTTCTTTTGTCATTTTCACTTATTTATGTCTGTCCTTGACACTTTCTCTCTCTTTCATGACATTGTTTGGGCCACTAATTCCAAAGGACGTCTGTGCGTGCATACACTTTGCCCCCACCTGTGTCCGTTTACAAGCAAACAGAGACTCTTGCGCACACACACTTTAAGTATTCTGCAGTGTCTGATTCTAATTTCCACCGTGTCCGAAGACATTTGGGAGCGTTTTTCATCCAAACTGTCTGTTTCTTGTTAAGCGGCAGACCAAAGGGTAGAAAGGGGCACAGCGTGTTCTCGGCTTCTCTTTGTTCTTCCGTCTCTGGAACGTATCCCCGCGGCTCTAAAGGCGCTTTGCAGCGGAGAGACGATACTCAGTGTTCAGGCCCTTCTCGAATGTTCCACTCGTGCACGATGGTCAAAGGCAGCACTTATTTGGAGAACTGCCCACACCCTGAAATTAAAATCGCACAACACATTGCAGGATAAAGACTTTGAGAGAAGTTCCCTGTTTTTGAGTTGATTACCAGGGCTTGTGAGGTCAATATGCAACTTTTTGTTAGGCCAGCAGCTGATTTCAGTTTGTCGGAACAAGATTGTTGGCCTTAAGTGGAACAAAATGGGCAATGGTTGGGAAATTTGCGCGTTCTGGCAAATCACAACTGAGTCGGAGACTGTCGCACTGCAACAGACACGTGCACGTCCTCATTGTGGCAGACTTATCGTGCTTCCTCAGTGCTCAACAGTGTCTCCTCTAATTGAGTCCACTGCCCTGTAGGAGCCCGGCAACATTTAACATATCAAAGGCCACGCTGACCTGTGTTTAGTGGGGAGGATGTGGCGGGCCCAGTTGGGGGTGAGGAAGGTCGATCGTGTAACCCTTAATTAGCTGACATTTGCCTCAAAGCACGGCACTAGGGGGGGAGAGAGGAGGGGAATGTGTCGCTGCGAGAAAAAAAAGGAAAAGACCAAAAAGTAAACTTCTCTTTTCGTAGCTAAAGGCCACGCCGCCATTGTGAAGCCGCGGGACGTGGAGCGGTTGAGATAACTGGCTCAAAAGATAAAGTAAAGCAGCAGGGCTCCGTGGGCGCATGGTAATAACCAAGCTACTGATGTAGAGGTGATGACGACGGATCTTTTCTTCTGACAATGGACATTAAAGAGCAAGGGTCCGTTTTGAAAAAAGAGGACAGGAAACCGACAGGAAGATGCATCTGAGAGCGACGCATGCACATTTACCTCAAATACGTACAGCAGTTATAATATAAATATTTAACAACCAAATCCTATTTAACACTAAGTGAAAGTGACTGTAAAGACAAAAAAAAAGGAAAAATCAAGCTTGTTTTTCCTCCATAGCTTGTTTGAACTTTGCACTCGCCATCTCCATTGACATTCGGGTCCAAGGGAGATGACAACTTCTATCAGGGCGAGTTGCACGTTTCAGATGAGTCATGCCTTTTGTGATTTATTTTTGCAGAAACAAGCTGAATATCTGACGGACACAGACATTCTGAAATTGCATCCTTACAAGATGCGAGAATAACAGAATGTATTTGTATAACAATAAAATCAGATTGGCTCCGACACCTTGAATGTGCTCCACGTTGTGGTGGCTGTGCACTAAAGTGGGTCGAGTTGCATTCAGTTGAATCATCTTTTAAATTGAAATCGATCTTTTCCTTTTTTTTTTTTTACAAACGTTGACATAAAATAATTATTAATATTCAAACTTCAGACTTGTGAGAGCCTGGGTCTGCTAGTTTTGTTCTTTGTCCGTTAACTTGGATTACTGGTCCGCTACATCTGTGAGCGCTGAGAAACAGACGGGTCTGTTGCAGCCGCGGTCACACAAGCCGTGCGTGAAGATGAGACTGTTTGACCAGGTGACACCCAAACCATCTGCTTTTTGAGGTGACAGCTGGACGACGTTAAAGGGTCAAACCGTTGTATGTGACGAAGAATACTGGAATTCCGCCTCTTAACTGAGACACTATGAAGTCAGTCGGGTGAAATATGAGGTGGAAATTTGTGATCTTAAGTCATTTTTGGTCACTGCGATAATAATGATAATCAAAAAGGCTGAATCACTTCACCAAAAGCAGAAGAGACGCAGAAAGACACATGTGTGAAATATATCAACATGAATGGAGAGAGAGAGAGAGTGAGAGAGATAGGTAGAAAGTAGGAGGAGGTTGATCTCAGTCTGAGTAAGTCAGTTATGCTTCATGGAGTGAGACAGATAAGCTACAAGCTACAATATAAGCTACATTGTGTCATGTCCAGAAAAAGATGTTAGTTAGGTTGTCTCGTGTCCGTCTCGTGAGTTCCTGTTTTATTTTGGAAAATGAACCTTCCCCTTGTTTCAGGCAACTTTCCCCTTCCTCTTGTGTCGGTGTGATTGTCGCCCCTCCCCTGATTGTCTCCACCTGTGCACTTCCCCTATGTGTGTGTATATATTGTCTGAGTCTCCCTCTGTCCTGTGCCAGTTCGTCTTGTCCCAAGCCACCGTGCCAGCGCTACGTATGTCCACAGTCTTGCCTCGTTTTTTGTCGACACCTTAATTGAGCCTGCTTTCAGTTTTTGTCTCTAGATCGGTTTTTTCCTCGCCCACGAGTGATTTTTATTTCAGCGGCCATGCCCTGTCCTTTTGTTAATAAACTTTGATTCTTTTTTCGCACCACGTTGTGTGAGTCGTGCATTTGGGTTCCCGTCCACCGTCCGGTCGTGACACATTGAGAGATACAGACACGATAGTGATATTATTTTGAGAGAAAAATAAATGCGTAGTGCTTTTCTGAACGAACAAATTGAAAGTGGGGAGTCAATGAGACGACTTGGAGAAAAGGCAAAGGCATGAAGAGAGCGAAGGGTGAATTATGAGAGAGAGAGAGAGAGAGAGAGCATAAAGAGCAGTAGCGTAAAAGCAGTGAAGGAAGCAGTAGAAAAAAGGTAAAAAAAGTGTCGTTAAAAAAAGTGAGGCGAAAGGCCGGGAGAACTGTGTGCAAGCCGATCCCCTCGGCTTTTCTCGGGGTTGACTGACCCTACAAGTCATTAGTAGGATCTAATGGCCTCATTACACCCTTCTATCAGGGGAAGAGGGGTAACTGAAGCCGTTACCTGGTTATACAACACCGCACTGATACTGGAGCGGACCAACACACCAAACAATAGAGGGTTTCACGCACACACACACACAAGTCATCCCACCCACCACGTATGGAAAAAGTCAATATCGGCAAACACACACACACACATTCCTGCCAATGCACCACGATGGGGTCCAGACAAATTCACAAGGGGAAAGAGGACCTTTCTAAAGCATTTT